TTATGCTGAGTGAACTAAGTCAGACAGAGAAAGACAAATATCATAAGATCTCACTTATATGTGGGCACTAAAAAAACTCAAACAAAACAAAAAAAAAAGTTAAACTCATAGATATAGAGAACAAATTGGTGGTTTCAAGAGGTGGAAAATTGAAGATAGGTGAAATGGGTGAAGGTGGTCAAAAGATACAAAAGAAGACATTGCACAGGAGTGGGGAGGAGAGTATCAAGGGGTGGAGGGACATCGTAATACTTTCAATAATAAAGATAATTTTTCAAAAAAAAAGAAGACATGAGAATAGCATGGTAACTATAGTATATTTGAAAGTTGCTAAGGGAGTAGATCTTAGTTCTCATCAAAAGAAAAATAAATTGTAACTACATATAGTGATGAACATTAACCAGACTTATTGTGGTGATCATTTTTCAATACATACAAATGTCAAATCATTATGTTGTACACCTGGAACTAATATAATGTTAAATGTCAGTTACATATTAATGAGAACCATTCTAGTTGTACAGGTGCATTAAAACATTTCTTAAAACAAAGTTGGTTCTTACATGTAGACTTTCCTATGCTCTTCCCTTTGCTTACAATACTGTCTTCTATTCTCTACTTAGTAACTCTTACCTATCCTGCAAGAACATAGCCATATATCAGTATCTTTATAAAACCACCTTTAATACTGCCAGGTATAATCATTCTCTCTTCCTAAGATCACGATTATACTTAATTGTTTTATTACATCAATTACCATGTAATCTCTATTTTTTATTGTTTTGTGATTAATTATTGAGAATAACATCACCCCTAATGCTTAAGAAAAGCCTAGCAGTTCTACAGCTAATCTAGCAAGTTAATACTAGAACTTGTTTCTAATCCTCTTTTACCTATCCGTTATTGTACTACAGCCACGGAGACAAGGAACCCCTAGAACAAGTATTAAAACTGTTTTATCAACCACAAGTAATCTCAGTAAACACACTTCTGAAAGCCAATCAATCAGTGGAAGATCCTCCTTTTGAAATTAACCAATAAACAAAGCCTCACTCTAGTAACACATTTTGGAAGGCAGGTCGATCAGCAACTCCATCTTTCCTGAGGAACTACATTCTTAATCCTGTGTCATTTCACTCTCACTGCTAAAAGCCACCAATCACTGACTTGCACGCTGCATAACAAATGACCCCAAACTAGAAGCCTAAACAAATAATCATCTCATATCGGAAGTTAGGAATTTGGACTGAATTTTCTGGGTGGGTCTGGCCAGGGTCTCTCATGAGCTGTCATCAGAGCTGTAGCCACCTGAAGGACTGTTGGGACTGGAGGCTCCACTTCCATGTTTCATTGTTCACACAGACCTCAGTTCCTCACTGGCTATAGGCAGATGTATCAGTTCATCAGCACGTAGACCTCTCAGCACTGCTACCTGAGTATCTTCATGACATGGCAGCTAGTTTTCTGAGTAGCTTATTCAAGAGAAAGCAAGGCAGAAGGCACATCTTTTATGGCCTACCTTCAGAAATGACATACCATTATTACTACTGTACTTTTTTGGTAACAAAGACCAACCCTGATACAATGTGTATGATTTCTACAAAAGCATGAATACCAAGATGCACAGATCAGGAGGGTCGTATTGTAGGCTGGCTACAACTCTTCCCCAAAACCCTGAGTAATATCAATAGTTTACTTTGCTCAAAGAGACTGTTTAACTAGCATAACTCTCCCTAAATTCAACTTTGAGTTTTTAATTTCAGATATTTAGTGTTGTTGTCATCCTTTGTCATTTACAGAAGTTTTCTCCAGGTTTCTATTTTGTTTGTTTTAAGATCCTCATTTGGTAGTATTCTATTTGACCCAGAGACCAATAGGAATACTCACTGGGACTGACTGAGCCAAAACTCTCACAGTGCTTTGGATCTGATAAAATAATAACACTTCTAAGGCAGAAATTAAGTTTTAGTTATTTCTCCATTTTTTTGACAAGCATGTAATAAACACTCAACGCTTGTTGAATAAATAAATGCAGAAGTCAAATAGTAAAACGTTATTCCTACAATTTTCATTTTACCAAGTTCACCAGTAAAATACTGAGTGGTAGATTGTTGTAAATCTGCAACTCACATTTCCTATAACTTATAGATCTAAAGTCACACCTTCTTACTCAATGCTTCCAACCTGCTTGGTGAAACTGGGGTTGGCGAAGAGGGAGACACACTCTGATTCTATCATTCAAGTTCAAGAAAACATGGGCTTCATGTAGAACACGTTCTCTCCATTAAATGAGAAAGACCTTATTCATTAGAATATTTAGTAACTTGACCATATTGAAAAACTTTAACCAGATTTGATATTTCATTCAATTTTATCTTTCTTTTGAGGGATTCCTGTGATTATACTGAATAGTAAAAGTTTTAAACAGCTAAACCTTGTAAAAATAAAATGACATTTTCCCACCAACAATAACACTTATAAAAACACATTCACATCATTTGCCCTTAACAAAGAAAATCTAAGGGACCTTCAAGAACATGTAAGTGGAAGCTTCTGCCAGGTTATAGTTGGGGGAAAAAAGGGAGATCAACAGGTATATACTCAGACAACTTTCCAAGTCCAGTTGAATTTAAAGTATATTTTTCAGTGACCACATTATTCTCCTTAAGCAAGCAGACACTCCATAGGCAGAGCAAAGCATAGTATATTTTAACTTATCCAAATTATAACAGACCATAAATAAATAAAATATATGGAGCTTCTTTCAAATTAGGATTATCCTCAAAAAATAAACTCAAAAACAACTTAGTTTTGACATGAGTAATAAATGTCCATAGTCTAAGGAAAAATCAGCACAAGTAGGATAAAAACATTTAAGAAGGCAAAATAAATTATATATGTATCAAATAGTTACAAGAAAACATGGCAAAAAAAAGGAAATAAAAATGATGAATAGAAATCTAAGAAACAGCTGAAATGTGTATTTTCAAAAGTTTTTTAAAGTGCAAGATATAAGCAGAACATGTAGTAGCTAGGATATCTACAATAAATCCAACATACTTAATTATCCTATCTTATTTTGAGTTTCATCACTTAAAAGAAATGAGAAAATTTGAAGAATACGTAGAGAGAAATTCCAAAGACATTAAGGATGAGAAAGAGGACTTCTGAGAACTAATATTTTAAATGGCCAATTGAAAAAAAAAAAGATTTATTAAACAATGCAAAACCTTTATTTTGTAGATAGTGAAAAAGTTCCAACTCCAATGAATGGTATATAAGAAAAGAAAGTCCCATGTTGCAAAGTAGAAAATTCTAAGAGAAGAGATCATCAAATATCAGACTTGATTGTCAAGGACGACTGCTGGAAGGCCAGTCGTTAAAGATGGGATTATCATGTGGCGGAAGCACATCAGGTCTTGCCTGAAGGCAGGGGAATAAAGTGAATGGCATAAAAAGACACCTTGTACTTCTATAATGGGTAACAAAAGTGATTAGGCCAGGAAATCAAACTCCAGTATTAATTATATACCTTAAATAATTATATGTTATAAAGGTAAGTAAAATCTACTATATCAAGGGCTGGAAAAGATATATGAAGAAGAGGTACTAGAAAATTGGAGGTCTATGCTCATTACTCAGGATCTGAACAAATTAGAAACCTTATATTAATACAATAATATGGTTTCAGTTAAGAATGAACCATTAGTTTGAAAAAATAGTTTAATCATTCATTTGTAATCCCTAAATGGTTTCATTGGAAGATAATGGCTGGCCTACCCCTTTCAATGTATTCCCATTGAAGTTTCAAGAGTTCTTTAATATAATATACAGCTTCCAGGTTCAAAACCCACCAAAGTCACAAAGACGTAAAGCAGGAGAGAACCAGCTCAGTGTGTTTGGGACAGGCCAGAAGACCGGCAGAGCGCAAGGACACACCATTCATAAGGAACGGTAACCAAAGACATGTCAAAAGATTAGCTTTCCTAAACAGCCTCTTCAAAAAAATAAAAGTTTGACAAGACCTATGTTCCCGGAAAAAAAATTTAAGTCTGCTTTATATTGTTGATGTTTAAAATTATAGAAAATATGAGTCAGAAGAAAAACTTTGTACACATTAACCAATTTGAAATTATGACTTCAATGCGGCATTCTGGCTATAGTCAAGCTAGTGTTAGAAATTATGGAATAGCAAAGAATGGATATACTGAATATTTTTAGAGGATGCCTGTTCCTTAAACTACATAACTTGTTAGCAGCCGACACCATTTATAGAGCATTGAGTAACTCTAATAACTATTCCTCAGTTCTTGCTGATAATACATCTCTAAATCCACAGAGTGAAATCAATAAACAGTAGTGCCTACATTGTGGAGTATTAATGTGGGGACATTTAATAAATCCCCAGAGCTATCTTCCCTAAAATGTTTATAGTCAAGAAGTTACTGAGTTTCAGAAAGCACTTTCTGTAATAGACTGATCTTTTTCAAGGCAAATGCTGCAAATTCTCTTGTCAATCAATTTAATAACAACTGCAATTCACAAAGATGCAAGGCCTTGGTCACATGCTAAAAAGGGAAAAGATAAGCTTAAAACCTCAGAGGATCCTTGGCCAGTTTGGCTGGGTGGTTATAGTGTCAGCCTGTGGATCAAAATGTTCAAGGTTCAATTCCAGGTCAAGGGCACTTACCTGGGTTGTAGGCTCGATCCCCAAGGGGTTGTGCGGGAGGCAACTAGTCTATCTAGGCTTCTCTCTCACATTGATGTTTCTCTCCCCCCCCCCCCCCCTCTCTCCCCTTCTCCCTTCCCTTCTGTGTAAAAAAAATCAATGGAAAAATATCCTTGGGTGAGGATTAACAAAACAAACAAAAAAAACCTCAGAAAATAGAGTCCTTGAGTCACAACATAATGCCACTTGCATAGATTCTGTATATTTATTTGAACCAAATGTTCACAAATGGTCTCTAAACAGTGAACACAATTTTTTAGAATGACATGGGTCACGTTCTGGTAATTTTCAGGTGGAAAACTGCAAAGAAAATAAACTGCAACTGGAGTATTGATTCATTTTACACAACCTAGCGGCTTCAGCAATCTTTTTCACAATTTTCTTGCTTTCTTTTCCTCCTCTTCTTCCTCTAGGCTATCTATCAGACTGAGCACTTACATATACTGTTATATCCACCAGCCCCATAAGAGTGCATTAAATTTGTGACTCTGTAGATAAATTCTAAAATGCTAGTTTTAAAACTTAAAGAGAAATCTTCTTGCAAAAATATTGCCAAAATACCAATTTCACTATCTTGGTTCTTTACATTTATGTTTTCAGCTTCATTTTTATTATCATGTTATACATTTATTATGTATAAATGAAAAACTGCACATATTTATCGTGGATAATTTAATGAATTTTGACATATTTATGCATCCATGAAACCATCACCACAATCAAGATAATAAATATTTGTTACCCCCGCATTTTGTAATCCATCATGTGTCACTCTGCTCCCCATTCTATTCCCAGATAACCTCAGATATGCTTCTATCATATAGTTTATTTTGTTTGCATTTTCTAGGCTTTTAGATAAATGGAATCATACACTTGCATTCTTTTTTTTTTTTTTTTCCTTAATCTGGCATCTTTTACCTAGCATAATTCTTTTGAGATTCAGACATGTGATACTTGTATCTCGACTGTCAATAGTTGGTTCTTTCATATTGCTGAGTAGTAGTCTGTATGGATATATCACGACGTGTTTATCCTTTTCCAGCAGATGGGCTTTGGAGTTGTTTCCAGTATGGGTCTTTCACCAAAAATGAATCTATGAATACTCATGTACCAGTCTTTGTATGGACACACACTTCCTTTTCTCTTGGGCAAATTTCTAGGAGTACTATGGCTCGGTCATATAACAGGTATGTGTTTAACTTCTTAAGAAAGTGCCAAATTATTTTGCAGTGTGGTTTTTTTTTTTTGTTTTTTTGTTTTTTACCATTTTGCATTTGCAAAGGCAAACATTCGTGTTCTGGTGTCTGGCATCCCTGCCAACACTTAGTGTGTTGTAGTCTTTTTCAAAAAGTTCAGCCATTAGGGTAGGTGTGGAGCGGTATCACATTGTGTTTTAATTTACATTTGCCTTATGACTAACAACAGGGCATATCTTTTTTTGGGGGGTGGGAGGGCTTGTTTGCCATTCATGTATATGTATTCTCTCTTTTTTATTTTGTGTTTATTTTTAACATTTTATTTATAGTACTATCCACTCTTCATGGTATATAGTGTGTTTTGACTAACTTTTAGAGTCATACATCGCTACCATGATCAAGATACGAAACAGGTGCGCTAACCTAAGAACTCTCTTACTCTGCCTCTTTATAGTCAAGCCTGCCCACGAGCCATAAGTCCTAGTAATCACAGGGCTGATCGCTGTCCTTAGAGTCCATTTGTTGTTATTTTTTTTAATCCTCACCCAAATATGTTTACTGATTTATTTTATTTTATTTTATTTATATTTTTGAGAGAGAGAAAGATCACTGTGAGAGAGAAACAGGGTAGGTATGTGCCCTGACCAGGAATCGAACCCACCACTTTTTGGTACACAAAATGTGTACCAACAAACTAAGCCACCTGGCCAGGGCCTTATATATCTTTTATTATTTGACACTATTACAGATGTCCCCCATTTCCCCTTTTTGCCCACCTCCACCTAGCCTGATAGCTTTGCTTTTTCCAAAGTGTCACTTAAATGGAACCAATATGTAGCTTTTCAGCTAGGTTTCCTTCACTTGACATGATATATTTAAAATTCAGCCATGTTGGTGTGTATCAATAGTTCATTCCTTTTCATTGCTGAGAAGTATTTTATTGTACAGATGTAACAAATTTTGATTATCCACTCACTAATTAAAGAATATTTATGTGTTTCCAGCTTTTGGTAATTATGATTAAAAGACTCAACACGATAAAAATTTAAACAGTCACTTCATTAAAGAAGCTATACAAATGACAAAAACATGAAAAGACACTTTATATCAACTAAAGAAATGCAAATTAAAATCACAATAGAACACCAATACAAAGCAATTATAATGACTAAAATGAGAAAGATTTATTAATATAAGTATTGATAGAACTGTGGAGCAAAGTCAACCCTTATGTCTCTGCTGGTGAGGAATATGAAATGGTACAACCACTTTGGAAAACACTTTAGTCAAGATAAAAGCAAAGCTATTTCTATATATAGTCCTGATTATGAAGGTTAATAGCAGCTTTCCTTGCAGAATCACTTTTTTAAAAAACCAACCCAAATATTCATCATCAGCTGAATAGATACATACAGTGTGGTTCCACTGTTCTCGTGGAAGTATCAAAGTATAAAACAGCCACTTTTTAAAATGTAGGCATAATAATTAAGAACTAAAGAGAATATTTTATAGGGCCTATGTAACCCCTCACATTATCTAAGTGATGAATTCGAGTTGTGTAAAGAATCATTCCTTCTTCACTATCAAAGGAAATAAGGTTCAGTATCTTACCTATATATTTGTAGCCTTCTTCTCCATTTACTACGGGTCTCAGCCAAGTGGACTTAAGTTGCCTATTCTGCACATGGGCACCTTGAGGAGGATAGAGTGTAAATAACATTTCAATTGCATTGGACTTCTTGATGATTTCAGAATATTTTTCATGGTTGTCTATAAAAAAAAAAGAAATATTAAAAACTTTAGACATTTTTACAGAATGTCAAATGTGTTTCTTTTAAGGGGTGCAAATTAAAACTATTTAATAATTTAAATGCTAATGATTATGTTGACAACATGAGTTTTCCTTCATCAAAGATACCTCACCAAAATCTTACTGTTCAGATAATTCCTAGCAAAAATTAGGAAAGGACTCTACTAATAGCATCTTCAAACACTATCAGTTAAAGCAGTGTTGTTAGTAGCAATAGGGGGGAAAAAAGATAGCAATGAACAGCATTTATATTCTACATACTATAGCATAACCATATATATTGTGAAATTGCCATTAAACAATAAAATCAGAGTAACCAGGCAAAAAATGTTGAGTAAGTCTAGAGTTCCATAAACTGAAATTGCTGAAAGAATTAGTATTTCTAGGCTATGATCCAGGAATACATATACAAATATTTATATAACACTAACTCTATGCTAGGGACATTTCCAAATGCTTTAAAACATTAACATATTTAATTTTCAAAGCACATCTATAAGGTAGATCCTGTTATTATTTCCATTTTACATGAAGACAGTGAGGCTCAGAGAAATTAAATAACTTGCCTAAATCTTTCAGTCTGTAAATGATGCAATTAGGATTTGGATTATCTAAGGAAGTCCTTAATTGCAAACAAAAGTTTGTCAACCCAATATGACCTGCATTAACAAGTAGATGAGAAAACTATAATTAAAAAAATAATTTTATTTGTAAACTGAAAAATCTTTGGCTATGGCACGTGGGCCTCCAGTGTATCATTTCAGTTTATGGTTGATATACCACTCTCCTAAAATTCAATAATGCAGTCTCCTGAACAGTTCATTCGATGTGACTCACCTAGAGACATTTCAAGAAAAGGAGATACTGGATGTGAATCTCCATGAATAATTCTGTCACACTATCCTTCCTTCCTTCTTCCCTTCCTTCCTTTTTAGTTTCCTTTATTTTATTATATATATCCTATTTTGTGGCACATAAGTAAAGGCAGTAAAACATAATGATTGAAGAAGGTAGATTTGTTGGTGGGCAGTGTTACAGGTTTTAACCTGCTGCCTGACTCCAATCCACCTTCATAGTCCTGCTTGTGAGACTAGGACATTGATCCCTTGCCATATGGCACCATCCATGCACAGTAAAATGGGGAAGAAGAGAATGAAGGGGCCCTGTCTGGTTCTGGGGGCTTTCCTGGCTGGCTCCGCAGTTCACAGTAGCCAGCAGTGCAGGGTAGCTTCTGGCCATGTCACCTGACACCACCTGGAGCTCCCTAAATACACAGTTTGGGAGCTTTCTAGTGAATTCTGTGGTGTGAAACTTTCCCATGAATGGGTTCCCAGTGGGTTCCACATTGTGAGACCTGCCTCTGGTCAGAACCCCAGAAAGTGACTTCCCTGTCAATTCTAGCAGCACACGATGTCAGTGAACTCTGCCACTCACTGGGTCACAGCTATGCCCTGGATCTGGATCCCAGAGGAAGAGACGGAGGTAGGGACCATCTTTAAATTTGTTTTATCCTTAGGTGCTCTGCCTAGGGGTAGTGGCAACTCCCTATGTCCTCTCTTCTCAATTCTTAGGGTTCTTTTTATCCTTAGCAGCCAGTCTTAGTTACTCCAGTCCCTATCATAATTACTAATTATTAATATTAAACTTGACCTGCTCCAATTACTGTGTAACTTCTGCTTTCTAATTTGACCTCGACTAATACAGACAGATCTGTGTGCTAAATCTTGAACCCCCATTAACATCCTGTGAAATATTAGACAAATCAATTTATTTCCAGGTAATAATATTGGCCTCATAGGGTTATTGTTAGAATTAAAGATATATAAAATACTTATAACACCATGTTCATAAGTACTGGAGAAGTGTGTTACTAGTTTTCATCCAATATTACTTCAATAGTAATAAAAAAAAATGTGAAAGCCAGGAAATAAAATAGGTTTATGTTCATTAGTTTTAATACAGCACTTTATTTTGCTTTAATACAGCACTTTATTTTGTTTTCATTTCAGGAAAACTAAAATGCCTACACTAAAATATAAGTTGTTGTGAATGTAGAACCGTCACTTTTTCTTACTGGCTAATCCTGATTGAAGACTCAGTAGAAACACATGAAGCTGGTGGAGTGTTGAACTTCCTAGGATAGTGAGATATAATGGGAACTCCAGTATCAAACACACATTGAAGGCTTCTAGGTCAGGGTCTTGCTAATGCCACCATTTTCTATCAGGTGACACACACAGAACCTTGGAACTTCTATAAACAAGGCATTATGGTATTTAATGACTGTACCTTGTCTTCATAAGATCAAAGTTGTTTATAAATACCCATTTTTCATTTTAGAAAACAAAGCTTATAAAACATGTTTTCTTCTTTTAATTTTATTACATATGTATTTGTTACATATCCCAAGATAAAAACAGGAATTTGATTTTTGTTGCTGATATTGATCATTTTTGTTATTTATGGAGGACCTTCCTTTTAATACTCTGCTAAGTCACATTGGATTTAGGTGTAATAATTCTGTTCTCAGAACTAAAAAAATTTAAGAGCTCTTCCTTACCCATCCTTCACCAAGCCACATATGTAGTAAAAATCAGAAGATCTTAAATATATGTGTCTAAGTGGTTCTGTAGCAAAATCCCACATGAAATTTCCATAACTTTCTATTGTTCCCTGGTCACTAAGTGGTTAATTATCTTCACCAAGAGTAAGCAGGGGAGGTTGAGAGCAGAGGCCTCGGAGCTGCACTACTTGGGTGTGAATCTGGATCTGCCATTTACAAGTCGTGTGACCTGAAACAAGTTAGTTAACCTCTCTTCATCCCAGTATCATTAAAAAAAACAACAACAACAAAAACCTGTCCACGATACAGTGTAGTCACAAGGACTAAAAACGGGTTACTATAAATAAAGTCTAGAAGAACACCTAATCTCTGGTCACCATTACTTAAGTGAGTTATTACTATCATTATGATGCTCTCCATCAAACAGATGCTGATACAGCCTCTCTTCTATTTGGATAATAATAGCAGCTTCCTGTCTCCTGCCCCATCTTCTTGTGCCCCGGGTGGGTGGGTGGAAAAGTAGGCGGTCGTCCTAAAGTCATTGTCCTTTCTGGTCACTCCTACTCCATTTTGGATGCTCTAAGGGTCAGTGGTTCCTGTTGGATATTCATCAAGATTCTGGGGAATTCTACCACTTTCAAAAGTTTTTTGGTTCATCAGTCACCTGTAGGCTACTAACTGGTGTTAGGGTGGTCTTTCTTGTTATTATTAACAATAACAATAAGGAGCACATTGTGTACATCTAAGACATTACGGAGGTTGATGGCCCCATCAGCCTACAGACCACTCAGAAATATAAAGGACTGGCAATTTAACTATGGCATGCCATTAATGACAGGGTGTAGCTAAATTTCAGAGACATTAAAATATGAAAATATACATCATAGGGTTAAAAAAATATGGCAAAATCTCAGAGTTATTGCTCTCTTTACTTTTTCTCCATTATATCTATTGAATTTTGTAATTATATTATTTACATGTTTATTTAATTAAGATCTATCTCCTTCACAAAACTATTAGTTCCAAGCAGGCAAGGTCCATGGCTGTTTGCTAACCATTGTATCCTCTAGCACCTTGCCCTGTGCCTGATATTTACAAAGGGTCAATAAACAAATGAACATACCAGTAATCGATAGCATTTATTAAGAGCTTAATAGATGGCAGGCAGTGGGCTAAGCAGGTTATATACATTAGCTAATTTAATCCTACACTCATATATGGTTAACTTGCTGACAAATGCTATGAGTTCAATGTTATCACACTCACATTATAGGTCAAGATACTGAAGCAAAGAGAAGTTACAGAGAATTTTCATCTGGTAATGGTGATGCCAGGATCAAATCTCAATTCTACCTTCAAGCCTGTTCTTCTAACCGGAGTGCCGTACTGCTTCAACAAAAGTTTCCCGGTATCATGGGCTTCCGGCAGCTTCATGAGTAGCCAGTCACCCAGCAGGTTCTCCCTTGGGAGTTCTCCAGTCTTCCTAAACCCTTCTGCTCGCTGTTCCTGTGAGGTCTGCTGGTCAGCTCTGTGGCTTCTCTCACAAAAGCAGCAGCTCACACCTCCTTCCGGGCAGTTTTCTGAACTTCCTTTGCTATTGAAGAGCCATCAGGTCAAAACTACTCTTCATCAGCTGATTGCAGCCCCTCAATTTGCTAAGGGTGTGAGCTGGTATAAAACCCCACAGGTGGCCTCCTTAGCTATCTCTAGCTTTCCTCGTCTTAGGTAAATGAGGTTCATTATGCTTAATATTCAGAGTAGGTGGTGAGTTTTCAGAGAACCTAAAGATGTCCTCCCCTTCCTCTCCCAAGCAGGGAGCTGTACTATTGGGTGAGCTCATTATTCCCTCCTGCACAGCCTGAATTTGAATATTTAAGGCAGTGGTTCTCACACTTGGTACTTCAAAAATCACAGTGATTTAAAAAATTATGAGGTTTTACATATTGAGTTTATTTGTGTTTGGCAAGTATTCAAGTTCCATGATTATTTTAACATTATTTCATGGTTTTAAAAGCATTGTGTGTCTTCAACAGGAAACTTTGGAAATACAAGAATAGCATAAGAAATCATTATTACTCCTAATATTTGCCGACTCTAATCCCATATGCATGGTTTTTATTCTCCAAGCAACCAAATAGAACATAAGTAGTTAACAGGACATTTGGTAGCAGAGCACTCTAAGTTATGTAAAACATTTTCTATTAAAAATAATAGATTGAGCCCAGCTGGTGTGGCTCAGTGGTTGAGTGTCATTCCACGGACCAAGAGGTTGCTGGTTTGATTCCTGGTCAGGGCACATGCCCAGGTTGCAGGCTCTATCCCCAATAGGGGGTGTGCAGGAGGCAGCCGATCGATGTTTCTCCCTCACATCGATGTTTCTATCTCTCCCTCTCCCTT